CTTCTCTTACAACCCTAACATGGCAGCAAAATTGGTACTACCACGTCAACTAACGACTTGACTAAACACGAATGGCCATTCCTTGAGGATGAAACTATTCTTCATAAGGAATGGTTGTTCCATTCATAAAGAACATCCATTCCTTTATAAGGAATGATTGTTCCTTCATAAGGAATGACCATTCCCTATGAAGGAACGGTTGTTACATTCATAAGGAACAACTATTCCTCATGAAGGAATGGTTGTTCCCTCATAAGGAATGACCATTCCCTATGAAAGAGCGGTTGTTCCTTCATAAGGAACAATCATTCCTTATGAATAAATAGTCTTTCGTCCCTAAGAAACAATTGTTTGTGTCTAGTCAAAGTCGTTTAGTGCCTTGGGTGTGGTGAGAGCTAATGCGACAGTTGACAACTTAGCTGTCACGTTGGGGTTGTAAGAGAAGGTTGTGAGCATAGTATTACTCATTAACTTAACATTAACACATTGTTATTCCACATCAAAACAATAAATATAGAACAAATAGAATAAGATTAGTAAATGGTTACCTCAATGTATCTGAAATGCATGCACCCAAAGGATTTAAGTTTTCACTATCATTTGAACTGATTAATGACATTGGTTACGATTGTAGGAAGTTTGAATGTGTGTTGACTGATTAGTGAGAAGAAGACAATTGATTTTTATTTCTATTTTTCATTTAATAGTTTTTCCTATTGGATTGAAAAAATCTTTTTATATTTACTTATAATCATGTTGTATAAAGACTAAAAGTTCTTGAGATAGTTAATTTAGGGCCTGTTTTGTTACACTTTTTTAAAAATGTTATTCTGAAAAAGTGTTTTAAGTTGAGTTGAGTTGAATCAAATCGAATTGGATTTGAATATGAAAATGTGTTTGGTAAAGAATCTGAAAATGTGTTTGGTAAAAAAATCTGAAAATTATATCAGAGTTGGACAAAATACTAAATAGTTGTTTGGTACATTTTTTGAAAAGGGTTTTTAAGACAGAATAGTTGTTTGGCACATTTTCTGAAAATATTTAAATTATTTTTTAACCCCTTATATTTGTTAATTTAGCTACACACCTCGGCAATAAAAGTTTAAAAATTAACTAAATCACCCCAGCCACCCAAAAGGACAGCCGATTGCTAGCCACCACTGCCAAACGACAGTTAGTAGTCATCGGAACAGTGCACGACCAGTTGGATCTAGCCGGTCGTGCATCGATATAGTCATTTTCGGCCAGATCTATAGCCAAATTCTTGTCGTTAGTGGCCAGATCTCTGGCCATAGATTTGGCCAAATCCAGCTAGTCGTGTGCTATTCCGGCCACATCGGCTGGTGGTGGTTGCTGGCAGGCGGTGGTGGTTTTGGGTGGATTAATTTTCAGATTGGAGGGAGAGAAAAATGAGAAGAAGAGAAAGAAGAATGTTTTCACTTGAATAAAGTTGGATAATCTGAAAACATGTCCCACCCTCTCTTCATTTTTAGACAAAAAATCTTATTTGAGTTGGATTGATTTTCACATTGGATTGGCCCAATAAGTAAACAAACACATATCCTATTTTCCTTAGTTCAAATAAGATCACAGAATAATGATCTAAAATAGTATAATGAATAGGGGCTTAAACTTTTCTTTTATCCTCTTATGTTTTTAATTTTTATTTTTTTAAACAAGGGAATAATTATTTTAAACTATCCTTATGGTATGGGTAATAACGCAAAAGATAAAGATTGGCTCACAACCCAATCTTATAAACTTTCTCTCACAACCCTGATGTGGCAGCTCGCAATTAGTCAATTCGCAAATGGGCAGGTGGGACCCCTAGAGAGCAAATGGGACCCATATGCAAGTTGACCACTATCGTCGACTTCATCCCTCCATCGCCTTTAAAACCCCAACTCTTCCCTCCAACTGCCATTTCTTACCTGCCGCACCTAACCCAACCTAGATCTAGTCAAAAGCTATTCCCGAACAGGAAGAATTGCGACCACACCTAACCCTCACTGCCTACTACAACTAGAGATTTATCTTAGTCATGGCCGTTTTATGCAACAACGTGCCTCAGCCATGCCACACATTAACAGATCGTCGTGGATTCTACACCAAAACTATGTCATGGCTTCTGCGGCTATGCTGCCGAGCAGTTCTCCAACGACGAGTACGAGTGTGACTATAAAACCTATAAGGTATTTTCTGTTTCGGGTCTTTGTTTAATTTTTGTTTTTAGTTACATTTTGAAGTAAGTACAGGGAAAATATCTATTGTTGTTAGAGTTTTGAATTGGCCAATTTGCGTGATTTGAAAATAGAGAGACTTTACTTGTAGTGGAGGATTATCATATTTTTTATGAAACTTATTTTAATCGTTTATGGTTTCTTTGTTGAGTTTGTGAAATTGGAATAAGAAGAAACATAACAAATTTCACTTTATTGACAATTTTAGTCTTTGCGATATCTGGTTGAAATCTGTTTGGGTGCTGAGAAAGTGAGTATGTATTGTGTAACTAGAAGTTTGAAATGGTGGGTCATGTCGTCCTGGTTTGTAAAATAGGTGGAGAAGAGGGGTGGTTTGGAATGTGTTGTGGTGGGGGTTTGGAATGGTGGCCGGGGATTTGTGGGATCTGCGGGGTAGGGGATGAGGGGTTTTGGTGTGGTGGGTTTGGGGGATCAAATGGTGGTGGCAGGGGGTCAAGACGCCACTGGAATCAAGCGGGGGGCTTGAAATAGTAGTCACACAGGGGGTTATTTTGAGATGGGGTTTTGAGATGTGGAGGGAAAAAGAACAAAATGGGAGGAGGAGGCGATGATGAGGAAGAAATGGAAGCGAAAGAGAAAAAAAGAAGAAAATGTTTGTTTTACCCTTCTACTATTAAAATAAAGGGAACAAAGTTAGTTTAAGGATAAGAATTTGGAATAAATAAAATTAGGGGTATCAATTAGGGATTTCGGTAAACCTCGGGTGGGAATATGTCGTTTACTCATAAATTTACAGCTGTTTGTTTTTTAACCCTTTGGGTCGTTGATAGGGGGTAAATAAGATAATATAGATAATATTCGTTTATTTTGCAAAATTTATATATTTGGTTTGCAAGTAATAAAATATTATGGTAATCTTTTATTGCAAATAGTATTTATTGTTGGTAATGTGGGGGGTAATCTTACTACCTCGTTATGAAGTGTTATTAAAATATTACCAAGGTAATATGATTTTTCTTCCCATTTTGCCCTTAATTAAAAACCATTTCGGACATAATTGCCCTCAAATGTCTACCAAATAACAATTACCCAACCCCCCTACATTTGAAAAATTAACTAAAACACCCCAGTCACAAAAAAGTTTAAAAGTTAACAAAATACCCCTAACTACCCAAAACTACCGCCGATCGTGACTCACCACCACCTATCTCCAGCGTTAGTTGCCGTAATGGTGCACGATCGGTGGGATTTGACCGATCGTGTGCTAGTAAAGCCTTTTTCGGTAACGGATCACGGATCCATGACTGGAAACGGCCAGATTTGGTGTTTCCATGGTCGTTTCATGGCAAAAGATGTGGCTGTGAAAAGGCTAGATCTTTGGCCATGAAATGGCAAAGCCAAAGATCTGGCCTTTTCACGGCACATCTTTAGACGTGAAATGGCCATAGATTTGGCCGTTTTTCGGCCATGGATTTGTAATCCATGGTCATTTCCGGCTTTGTCGACACACCGTCGGCCATATACAACCAGTTGTGCGCCATTCCGTCCATTACTGGCGATGGTGGCTGGCTGCCGGCAATGGCTTGAGGTGGGTGGGGGTAGCTTGCTACAAATTAAAATTTTATATGGCTGGAGTGTTTGAGCAAAATTTCAAAATGTAAGGGGTTAAAAAAATATTTAAAAAATAATAATAAAAAATGCTATTATATTAATATTTAAAAAGGAGGGCAATTTAGTAATCTATATAACATACCCACCCATTTATCCTCCCAACAAAATATATAATTCACTAATTTATTCGAAACAACCCAACACATTTTCTAAAACATTCTCAATAATCTTTAAGGTGATCCTTTTTTTCTGTTAATATAATATATGCTTATAAGAAAACATTATATGATTCAGATGCCCCATTCTTGCTATTAAACTTAACGAAAAGTGAGTAATGGTAAAGGGTTTTACATTATTACCTATAATAAAGGGGATTTATCATGTTTGGACCAAACCTGGGAAGGTCTCAATAATTATCCCTTAAAACAAGGAGTAAACGATTTTTTTTCCACCTAAAAAATGGTGTAATGACACATTATCACCTTCAAACTTTTAAAATATCACTTTAATACTCAAACATCACATTTCGTTAACAGTTTCCGTTAAGAATAGTGATTTCACTGCAAAGATGATTTAAAAAAAAAAAAAAAAATATATATTATTAAATGTCAAGTTAATAGAATCAATTACCTATATACTCCTCTTTTTAATTATGAAATTATTGTTGTATCCCCAAGAGCATGAGAGAGACAAAATGAAGTGGAGGACAAAATATTTGCGTAAAACAAATGAAGAATACAAACAAGGAGAGAAGATTATATGACAAGTGTTTAGAGCTGGGCATTTGGGATCGAGCCCAAAAGCCCAGCTCGAAAACCCGGTCTTAGGACCGATCCTCGAGAGGACCGGATCTAGGAGGCTTGGTCCCAAAACGAGACCAAGCCTAAGGAGGAGGGCCCGGGCCCTCCACTAGGCCCTCCTCCAAGGCCTGGGCCTGGGCCCAAAAAAATTTGTATTTTTTCAATATAATCCCCTACCAAACTACATAATAAATATAAATTAAGAGGCCTAAAATGACATTTTACAAAATTTACAAAATAAAAATCTTCCAGGTCTAAAAAATTTATAAAATTTATAAATTTTACCCCTAAAAAAATACTAAAAACCCCCCATAAAATTTCATTTTGCCGCCAAAATAAAAAAAAATTGAGGGGGGAACAATTAATTATCCAAGCCCCATGGGACTGGTCCTAGGACTGGTCCTGGGCCCATAGGACCAGTCCCTACCAGGCCTAAGGCCTGGTCCGGGTCCTAATTTTTCTCATGGGCCTGGGACCGGTCCACCTCTACAAGTGTTTGATATGGTAAAATGAGATTATTTTTCTCATTGACAAAAATTAAATGTTACTTCTATACAGCAAACCCAGCAGAGAGTGTTGGTTTTTTCATCATCTAATACAAATATAAATCTTAACCCACGCACTCACATCACAACACAAATTTCCAAAATTTTCAAAAGCAAAGTGGCCCTGCTGCTCCATGACTTTCAATCCTCTTGGTCTCTGCAACACACATAAATCTTAATCATCAATCATCTTTGCAACCAGAAACAGAAACTACTTGTCGGTGTCATCCGTTAGATCAGTATCTAAAAATAAACATACAATGATTTCAGATGCCAATAGAAACAATTAGCATCGATGTTTAGAGATACCAATTGAACAAATAGCATTGATATATTCAGATACCAATTGAGCGTTTGGCGACAAGATAGAATTACCTTCTTAGAGCTCTTCTTCTCCCTAACTTCATACATCTCTTGGCACATATCAGTCAACCAAGCACCAGGACTCACCAACTGCCACCCACCAAAACCAAAACAAACAATCAAAAACCAAAGATAAGTAAACAAAGAAACAAACCCAAATGCACAAAGTGCTTACAAGTAAACTTCTTTGAATAATCTTAGCTCTCTTTTTAGGCCTTTGCGGACCCTTACACCCTTTCATAGTTAAGAAATCCTGCTCTTTCTCTTTGTTCGACAAAGTAATATACAGCTTCGGCCAAACAACCAATTTATTATCCTCTCCATTGTTGGTATCTACAGGAACCTTGCCATTCTCATCACCACCCACTGATCCTCTCGTGGTGTAGTATCGATCTTCCTTCTCTGGCGATGATGATTTTCGATTCTCATTTGAACCCGACCGGAGTATTGCAGTCTCAGAATTCCTGAAGCCAAAATCACATAACAATTAAAACCATTCAACACACATTCAAAGCACAATATGTCTATCTCCATTGTTGTTAGTTTTGTTAAGAAGAAGCTAGTCATGAACCGCTATTATGAAAAGCACTCAACAAACATTCAAAAGTTCTTTCATGTTCTTTTTTTCAGTTTCTCTGCAACCAAACAGAGAAAAACAAGAAACATAATACATAATAAATATCACAAAAATAAATTAATAAATAAAAAAATAAATTGAAATCTAACATCTTGAACACAGATTATCCAAAATTGGATTTTTTTTTTCCGGTGAATTTCTGGCGTTTTTAAAATTCAGAAATCTCTTTTCTCGCATGCTATTTTCTTCCGTTTTCTCAGCAACGAAACAAAAGGGTAAAAGAAAAACACTTCAAATTTCACAAAACCTTTAACCAAATCAACAACGTAGAAACCAAAGTAACAAACAAAACCACTCTGAAGTCGCTTCAAACCCTCGTCGTTTGCCGAAGAAACTACGCCACAACAACCCAAAACCTTGTCGACAACACCTTTAACCGAGCCAAAACTCCAAACTCGCCAACCACCAGTCTAACCCGCCAATTAAAGCCGCCGAAAACAACCGCCAGAATCACCAGAAACAGGTCGAAGTTCGTCAGCAGAAAACGCAAACGTCGCCTCTTTCAGAACACGCAAGAAGTGAAATGACTTTTGCCTATCCGTTTTCCTTAACGAAGTCAACTGCCTCGGCCACGTGTCATATTTCCAGCCCTACGATTTCTCACATTTTATTTTTAAAATCTGATTTCAGATGGAATGACGGTTCTACCCTCAATTATAACTATCTTCTTACCATCTTACCCTTCTTCACATCGTAAATTACTAACGGATTTCTGCTTCGGGTATTAAATAGTGTTTTAAAAGTTTGAGCGTGGGACAGTTATTACGCCATTTTTTAGGTGGGAAAAAGTTTTTAACCCTAAAACAAGTGTCCGCCAAAAAAGTATTCCACAACAATCAAGTCACTCCAAAACTCATGACCAAAATTCTTTTCACTGTATTTTTAATAAACAAAAGTGGGGTGGCTTTTTTCTCAGCAACACCTGCAATGGAGTTGAAGGGGTGGATTGAGGGGGACGAGAGTGCGGATGAAATGTTATCTCGCCTTATAACTGAAGGCTCACCCTTCTTTTTTCTTCCTCCGCTTCACCGGATTCCTCTCCGCGTCGGCAATGTTCTTGAGCTCGTTGGCCCCTCTACATCTGCCAAAACCCAAATCCTTATTCAGGTACTCTACTACGGATTTTAAATTAAATTAAAATTTAAGAATTTGAATTATTAAAATCTGTGCTCTTAGGCTGCAATCAGTTGCATTCTTCCTAAAGAGTGGAATGGGGTGCACTATGGTGGATTGGGGCGTTTGGTGACGTTCCTCGACTTGGATTGTCGTTTCGACGTTTCATGCCTCGCACAATTGCTAAAGCATCGGATCATGGAAGCTAATGGTAAACCTATACGCATAATTTTTTTTTTTTTTTTTTTTTTGACATGGAAATGCTTATTTAATTTATAAATAATGTTTGTTTAAAATATTGTTGTTTTGAATGTGTTTTGGAATGAATACGCTTTATACAGGTTGTGGGGTCATGTATACTCACGGGATGGCTTTTTTTTTGGAGTAATGAATTTTTTTCATTGCATCCAAATGAATCAAAATCTTGGTTCTTGCAAGAGTAGAAACATAGTCTTTCAGTTTTTTAAATAGGATTCCCCGCTTAAGGGATAACTATTTGTTACCAATGGGGAAATGAATAGCTTGTCGTAGAATATTATTCTTGTCAGACTTAAACCTAACAAATATAACAAACCGGTATTCATAGCATCATAAGAAATTTGCCAAACCATGTGTTAGATTCTAGTTCCATTTCAGCCTCCTAAGTAGTTTAGGCATCTACTCTGGTGCAAATTTCATCCCCATTGTTTATAGGAATGAGTTCCATTTGGATGTGCTTTAGTACAGTTTACCTGAAAAATTTCTCCAATTAAAAATATCATAGGTTCTGAATATTCAAAAGGGAAAATATCATGGATTCGCTAAAGTTTGGTTAATTATATTGGAGCCAACCTAATTCTGGATTTTCTTGAAAAACCCCTACTGCTAGAGAACTCAAGTAGACTAAACATACCTAAAGATATGTGAATAATTTTACTGTCCAAAAGTTATGTCAATATTGATATTATTTTTGAAATTTGTAAGAAAGCTTCTCTTTTCTATGTCTTTATCTTGTCTCTCCACCCTCTACTATCTGTGACTACAACCAAACAAAACCTTCTCCATTTTCCTCTTCACACTGCACACAATTTCTTTTGATGGTAATATTTCATGCACCAACATTCTCAAACAAGATTAAGGATTGTGGTTATAGCCAAAAATCCATATACTACACCAGTAGACTTGTGTTTTAAGAGCTGTGGGCTTTTGTGTGGTGCTTAACTTTCAATAGTGTGATATTGTGCTCATGGTTACTCTTTTGAGTGATTGTAGCCGCAAAGAATTTCTTGCATTGTTTTGCTATGAGCAAAGATTTGTTTTGATTGGAAGTGGAAGAAGTGAGAGGTTGCCAGAGCCATGTGGCAAAAATGGAGCATTATCAGATCCTTGCTTCTGATTGACCCAAACCTTATTATCATTCATTCTAATTAAGCGCAACCCTATTTATGAAACAAATTCTGTTTGTACTCTTTTAGTTTGCCAATTAGTATTGATTTATACTTATAAGGACTTATATGGATCTACAGATCTGAATGTTTCTCTTGATTCTCTACTTCAAATAGCTTCTAATCATTTGATATATCATTTGCTAACAAGATTGTTAGCTTTGTTGCCAAGGTTTTGGCCAAATATACAAGGGCTTCTAGGTTGAAAATGTGAAGAGGCCACTAATTTGTTAAAAACTTGTGGTTTTGAGGGAATGAATCATATAACAAAATCTTTTTTTGCATGGCTATAAATGACAGTGATGGTTGTGCATAAAATTTCCTTATTTTTATTGTAAAATCCAAGGGTCCATTTGGTATTATTGTAAAAAAATATTTACTGTTTCAGCAATTCAAATGCTTCTAACGTTCTTTTGATGCTATATTTGAAAATTATGAACTGAGAAAAACAATTCATTCTTCAAAATATTTTGGGTTAAATTCAGCAACAAATTAAAGACTTTTTTTTTTTGAGAAGCAGATTTAAAAATGAAGTTAATCAATGAAAGAACCCAAAGATGTGTCTTGCATCATGGTATTTTATGTGAAGTTGAAATGAAGTCTTCAAGTTGTATCTTCTTTCGCTGCATTATGTGTCCAGCTTGTTTGCTAGATGTGCTAGGTAGCCAAAATAGCTTAGGTCTGTTCAGGTTCTTGTGAAGCGTTGCTTGTGCAGTGTATTTTTGCTTTGAGAAAGGGAAGAAAGCCAACACTTAATGGAAGATGTGATAATCTATAGGAGCGAATCATTTCTTTGCCTCTTTTTGGGTTTCTATGACCAAGTAGGTTAAGACTGTTCCTTTTTCTTCATTAATTTGAAATGGGATGGAGTTTGGGATAATTTGTTCTTGGACTTGTAATCTTTTTCCTTTTATTTCAGGGCAGTACACTGGTTTGGGGAATACATTTTGTGTAGTTTTAGTGTTCTAGAGTGGGATTGTTTTGGATGTCGTTTTGGATCTCTGGTTCACTTTTTTTATCTTCTTTTCTAATCTAATATAAATTGTGTTTCTTATTGAAAAAAAAAAAAAAATTGTGTAGGAATTATTAATGTTTTTGTATTCAGGTTTCCTTGAACAATTGTAATAGGTTTCTTTTTAAGTGGACTATAGGTACACATTTCTGCGATATATATTTATTTTGATTTAATAGAATTTTTGTTTTATAAAAAACAAAAATGTTGTCTAGGATTGAGCAGTAAAGAGCATCGGGAGCAACAACTTGGTGACTTATCGAACTGCGATGCAAAAAGGCAATCTAATATGTTTTATGATGAGGAACTATTTGCAGTGTCCATGAGACGGTTCTTATATGTTCGTTGTTACGAAAGCTTTGAATTTCTAACCACTCTTAAGGTGAGGAGCCATTTTCTTTTATAAATAATTGTTAAAAAAAATAATTCAAGTTTTTTCACTCCTGGAAGTTCAATATTTGTTCACTGTGCCATTCAGATATTTTTTAAGTTGGCTCTTGAGACTTTTGTTCTCTTAAAGTCCCAAACTGTCATGGCAATGAAGTTACTAATAGCTAGAGCGATAATTGAAACTGAAGAAGTATTACAAACTGATAAAAACTCAAGCATCAAGGGTCTTGAAATGCAGATAAAAATCCAGTACTTGAAATAGTCTCACTGGCATTCTTATTACATTTAACATTGCCTTTGCGTGAATTTGATACCTTCTACAGCTACCATTGAATTATAGGATGGTTGAAACACATTTTTTAGTGATGTGGAAAATTGCAGAGAGACCTATTTGTTATGCTCCATTAGATTTCTTATTTGAAGAAATTATAACACTAACTTAAACTGTATACTCCTATCCCGGTGTCTCCTCAGTTACACCAACTCCTGATATGGTTACTGCCAAGCTGGCCGTACACCTTTGCAAAAGAAGGAATGTGTACAGAACAATTCTTTTAAGAAACTAATCAACAATAGAAAGGACATTCTCAAAAATCTAAGGGAAGGAAGGGCAAGGAAAGAAGGTAACACAGGTAAAAGGCATGAAGTTGAGGATAAATATGGCATTTGAAAAGTGCTACTCATTCTTGTTGACTGAAATGAACATGCTTTTGGTTCCTATTTAGAAAATACCAAAAAAAAAAAAAAAAAAAAAAAAGTTTCTGGTTTAGTAAGTTTATCTTGTAATTGTAGCAAATATTGTGCGCAAACATGGAGAGAAAATGCATATGTATTGGAACTGTGATTATTTAGCAATTTGTTAATGGTATCTATGTGTGAATGTAGACCAACCTTGTCTTCGACCTTATTGCTTAAGCGGCTGAAAGCAAAATTCACATTGTTAATTAAATAAATAAATACTCAATAGAAAAGTATGAAGGAAAGCAAATTGCAAATTGACGTATTTAATCTTTGAGGGAGTGTAATTACTCCATTGTTTATTTTATTGTCTGGGTGAAAGCTTTCTTGTTTATTAGACATATTCTTGTATTGATGATAAACAAATTTCACCTTGTTTGGCATGATTTGAGTATTTGGAGAATATGACTGTTTTAAGCTTGTCTGTATCCTATTAAAACATTAATTGAAAACAGTGCTAAAATAAAAGTACTTATTTGAAAAGGTGAAGGTTAATTTATTAGGAAACAAGAAAATTTAAAATACATTTGAGTGCACTTCTTTAACCACCCTAAGTCGCCAAAGCAGTTTTATATAAATTTCAGTCATCAACTACAACCATAGCTCTTCATTACTAAAGCTTTTTAAACATGTAGGTATAAATTGGGTCAAGCATGGCAGAAAATGAATAATATTGACTCGGCACAATATGAGGCTCATAATGGCCTTGCGTTGATCTGACATATTTTGGCATGAAAGTCCCATCTTTCAGGAACTTCAGTGGGAAAGAAGAAATCTTCAAATAGCTTGCTATGTATGTGAGATAATTACCACCCAGTATAGTTGTTAAAGGAAAAAAATAAATGAAGGAAAAACCTTACAACTATATCATGCTTTATGATGAAAAACTGAAAATTTTTGTAGAATTTCATGCGCTTGAATTTTTTATACAAGCTAGGTATATTGTTGATGGCTCCTATTATTCAAGTGTGTTCTTCAATAAGCTTATGAAGACATTGGAAGATTTATGATTGCCTTTCTGATTTCTTACTTTGTTGGTTCCAGACATTGCATTATAGGCTTAGAAGGGAAAGTGAAGCACATGGAATTAGTGTTTATTGCCTTCTTATTGACAGGTTTGATGATTTTGGTATATCTGAATTTTTCCTTTTTGTTGGATTTTGTATAGATTATACTTTTGTTTAACTTTCTCCCCTTCCTCCTGGAGATTTATTTTTATTTTATTCATGTATAGGTAAATCTTTGCTGTCTACAGATTATAGACAACTTCTTGTGTTTATGCAACATTTTTATTCTCTAAATAAGACAATTTATGGAATGGACTCAGTTTCAGATGTTCTTCTTTTAACAAGAAGTTGTGTTTATTCAACATTTTGTGCATTTTAAATAATATTAACACTGTGTTAGTATTCTCTAATTCAAATGACAAATTAACAAGTGTTATTATAGCTTGACTACAAATATATGTATTGATTCATATCTTTACTTTTTCTTAAAAATATATATTTCAAGTTTGATTAGGTTGGGGAAATTAAATTCGAACCCACTTGAAATAATTTTGGGATAGTTTTATTTATAATTTTTTCTTGATAAGAAACTATTTATTTAATTTATTTCACCCTAGTTATTATCCATTATTTAAGCCAAGAAAATGCTTATTTTTTTTTATCAGTGAGTAATAGAAGAGTTATTTAAATTGGTATTTTATCATTGTGTGTTTTTTAGTGCGTTATTGTCATGCATTAGAAGGGAGAAGGGAAAACAAGGAATCAGTCTAAACCTCTTGGAATTTCCTGTGCAAGGTATTGCATTTTCAATAGTGTCACACATTAGAAAAGGGGAAATGAGAAATTATTATAAATCTCTTCAAATTTTCAATCTTGATGTTGAAATTTCAATTTTTGCAGATTATAACTCATTTAAATAATTGTGTCACTATCTTTGATATGTAAACCTTTCTTTCAGCATTGGAGCTTTTCATTGGGTTGATCGGGCTTGTAGACCCTTGCTAGTGGGTGGTGATAATAGGTAAATTTTTATCTGATTTTCTTTCCCTTAAGTTCTTTGAATTTATTTTAAAAAAAGTATCTCATGCATTAGTTTTTCCTCTTAAAGAACTATTATAGTGGAAAAATTTTTCTTTACTGTTTTTGAATTGTATTATCCATATAATTTTTGTAATATCATTTTATAGCTTATAAACTATTTTTTACTAGAAATACTATCTTGTGCCAGGATTATGTTTTTTTCCATAGGCGGTATGCATTTCTTATGAAAGACATCTCGGACAATTTTTTGGTACTGTGGAACAAGGGTTATCATGTGAAGACCTAGTTGGTTATTTATCTATAATAATCACGCCTTTTGTGTTTATGCCTAGGTAGAGTGACGGAAAGAATACGAAATCATTTTAAGGTGTGTTAGAGCTTACATAAAATTAGCAATAAACAGAAACATAACTTACTACAATTTAATTAAAAAAATGATGAGAGCAATAGGACAAGGATATCCATTTTAAATCTTCTGTGATGTAGCAAAAAAGAAAAAAGGATGATGAGAAATTTCCTATTGAAAAGATATGGAGAAGGAATTAATAGCCATCTAGGTAGGTGGGAGCCTCTTGAGCAAGAAAAACAGGGCTCTTCTAGCTTAGTGGCTTTGGTGGTTTCCCGTGAGAGAAAGTCCCTTTAGTATGAAGTTATAAAAAGGATAAAAAGTAAATTATAACTTTAACCAAGTGGATGAGATTTCAAAGAAATAGGGCTCTTCTAGCTTAGTGGCTTTGGTGGTTTCGCGTGAGAGAAAGTCCCTTTAGTATGAAGTTATAAAAAGGATAAAAAGTAAATTATAACTTTAACCAAGTGGATCAGATTAGATTTCTTGGAAAGCCATTTTTAAGGAATATTCTTCATTCAATTAGTTCGTTGCTTCTAAGGTGGGAAATGGGAAGGAAACTCGTTTTTTGGGGGAGTAAATTGCTTTGAGATTTTAGCTTGAATTATCACTGCTCTGTTCTTTATAGATCGATTCTCATATGAAGAGTACTTTTTGGGCTGGAACCTATCAACTCTTCTTCCTGATATGGAAGCTGGAACCTGAACTTCAAAAGGAATATCAAGGTGAAAGAGATTGAAGAATTTACTGACCTAATGGGGCTTCTTGATAATGTATCATTAAAGAGTCAAGGGAAGATAAAGGAAAATAGATGCATAACTCTTCTGGTTTGCAAATCCCACTTTGAAATGTTTGTGTAGAAAATTTTCTGGTAGATATCCAGAAATTACTATTCAGTTTGAAAGGCAAAAGTTCCTCCCAATTTAAGGTTTTGCATGAACATTGGCTCAATGAAAATTCAAGCATGGCAAACAGTATGCAATTAAGTACCATCAGATATACTTCAAATTGCCCTGGTGTGATATGCAAAAATGGTGCAGAATTGTTAGATGATTTGTTCCTTCATCATTCAGTGACTCACCTGTCACGAGGAAAGTTAGCAAAGAAATCAATCTTCATTGTGCTATCTCTAGTTCTTGTATTGATACTAGAGAAGTTTTTTTCTTTGGCAAAGTAAAAATGGTCAAGACTTTTAAAAAGTGTGTAGTTTTTAGCTCTTTTACGGTTGATTTGGGGTGAAATAAATAATTGAATTTTTTGAATACAGTGGAGGAGAAGTGTTTTACGAGACAAAATGATGTTTATAGCATTTAAATGCTCTTTTATTTAAAAGACACTGCTTTTTCTTATTCATTTAAATTGGTTGGAGGTTGTGTGTTAACTCTGATTGTGTTTTTGGGGGCTGTTCAAGCTGTAGTGATCTTTCTTTTTTTTTTTTTTTTGCTCTTTTTTCACAGAATACACAATTGATGATAGTCTTTTCCTTAGACCCTGATAGATATGTGGATTCTCTTTGTTATAGTGAATTTGTGGTCCACTGATTTCATTAAAATATTAGGGTGCGTTTGTTTCCCTATCCTATTTGTATTCCAAATTAAAATGCATATTTGTTTTCCTATTCTCAAAATCTTATCCTAAATTATTCAACTATTTTTAAGTTTCAAATCCTATCTCGTAATAACCACCCAACTCTACCTAACAATAATATTTCAAAAATACTACTCCAAATAACTAAACAAATGCGTTTGTTTTCCTATTCTATTCGTATTTCAAATCAAAATGCATATTTGTTTCCCTATTCTCAAAATCTTATCCTAAATTATTCAACTATTTTTTATTTTTAAATCCTACCTTGTACTAACCACTCAACTCTAACTAATAATAATATTTCAAAAATACTACTCCAAATAACTAAACAAATTAATACATACCTTCTCATTTTTGCTGTAGCAATTCTTGGTAAGACTTTCACCCATTCTTCTGGTAAGGCTTTCGCCCACACTTTTGGTAAGGCTTTCCCCAACACATCGTGTTCATCATGACCGCTAGTTTAGGTGTAGAGATCTCTTCTTCCTTGTAAAATTACTTTATTTTTTGTATACAACTTGTATTCCTTCCTAGAGGAAATTTTCCTGTAATACACATCTTGTAAGGAAACCTAAATCTGTAAGGAAGTCACTCTAGAACAATCTCTGCAAAAGAAAATAGGAATCCTTCTAAAGCTAGGAAACACAGCCTGCTCTAACGAAAATTCCTTTTCATCCAAAAAAATTAGCCAAGTATCTCAAAAGTCTTCTATCATGAATTTCTCCATTTTATTTTATAGCCATTGTGTGTAATGCTGTTAGTTTCTAACATTAAGTTGACTACTTGATGTGGATTTTGTTTTTGTTTATGTTCAGGAAAAGTCTGTCTCTCCTGGGTGTATCAGAAACTGTCGTTCAGGAGGTCAGCAATCTTCTACTGCTTCATCCCATGGTTGTTATAGCTACTAGAACTACCATCTTAGGTGATAAAAGTTCAGCTAATGAGGTTCCATGGTGAGTTCTAAGAGGCTGACAGGTTTGTCCGTTTCTGTTTCAATATCTTACTCTATGTATAAAACTCTGAGTTGTTTATGCACTGAAGTCTGTATGTATAGTGTTTCAAATGTCCCAAACGGGTATGCTCTATAAGAGGAGGCTACCTGAAATTGGTAAATTAGGGAGGCACAAATTAATGGGCCAAAATAAGCCCACAGTATAAAAAGTTAAGAAAAGCTCAATATGCCCTATTGAAGTATATATTCCAAATCTTCCATCATTAAATAATTTCAAATCTTAATTGGTTGTACAAATCTGTCTATATTTAAAGGGATCCTATTTTCTTTATTCAAAATGATTGAGTAGTTGTTATGCCTATGATGTAGGACAAATATGGGGGAAGCTAAGGGCTATTTAGTCATTTTGTTTTTTAATATTTTAGGATTGATTGGGCTTGGTTAAATTAAATTATTGTTTTATTATTTTATTAGGATAAGAATTTTTAGAATGATGTTTTGATTAGGAATTGGTTTCTTAAGCTTATAAATAAAGGCTTTTATCATTATTGTTATCATGCTTGATAAATGGTTGATTGATTATGATATATTATATCATATGAATAATTCTTTTCTTCCATTATTCATATATCATAATTTATTTTGATTGATTATGATATATTTTGATTAATTAGGTATTGCCACAGTTGTTAAGAAGAGAAAGTGATAAACATGGAGTCCTTACCAAGGGGGAGAGAGAGAGAAAAAGATATGAAATAAAAGACTATTTATAATAATAATTATTATTTTATATTTAAAAATTGATAAATTATTATTTATTGTAGCTAAATAAGACAGCATGGGTGTCGTATTCTTTACATTAAAAAGTAGGTGGTAGAGACAAATGGCTATCAATCTAGGGGTCTACTTGCTCTTTTCTTATACTTCTAAGTCCAAGTACTCTAGTGCCAAAATGGATGTTAATTATTTTTTCTCACAGGAAGTTGGAAAATTGGTCTGCAACAGACATCTCATGTTCAAAAAATGTAAAAAGTAAAAATCAGCATCTTTCTTATCCTGAGTATATGCCTTCTATCTGGCAGGTAATGGTATATGATTAGTTGCTTTTTGCATGATTCATGATAAGCTTTTAGCTTCTGTGTATCATAAGATATATTGCTGGCTGCTAAATACTATAATCGAATTTTATGTCTAAATAATTAGTCAAAAAATGATTTTATTCTTCTGGCTTTCAGTATTTAACTTATGATGCATAACATCCTTGTCCAGGGTACCTTCAATCTTCAGAGGAATTTGACCCCAACATGGTTAAAAATTATCTCTTGTCAAGAAATAATTGTAACTACATATTTATTTTTGAGAGCTTTAGCTTTATGTTAAATGGATTTTGGCTTATTGGGTTAGATACCTGTAACAGTATAATGTTTATTTGATTTTTAAAATGTGTCTTTGATAGGACCCACTCCATAACTCAACAATTGGGCTGGGCCATGGTGTCTTCATGGGCTTAGTAGAACTCTCTTTGGAAAACCGGCTTGCCAGGGAGGTTGCCCAAACCTTTATAACCCATATGCCCACCCTTTTCCTTTTCAATGTGGGATCTTAATTTCTCTACGCTTCCGCAACCGACGTCCACGTCGCCTCTTTACCCCCGTCGCCTCTTTACCTCTGGGTGACTACGCAGATCTCCTTTCCCTCGGGCCTCCAGCCCTTTCTCGGGGTAGCAGCCCGGGCCCAAAGTCAGCCTACCACGCGTGCGCTGCCACATAGGCGCAGGATCATGCTCAGATACCAATTGATAGGAACCCACTCTAATAACTCAACAATTTGGGCTAGGCCATGGTCTTTCATGGCTTGGATATACACTCTCCTTGAAAACCGGTTTGCCAAGGGAGGGCGTCCAAGCCTTTATACCCATATCCCACCCTTTTCCCTTTCAATGTGGGATCCTATCGTCTTCAATGGAAAGGAAGGAGGATTGTGAATACTAAGCTGACTTCTGTTTTCCTATACTTCCACTCAATTTTATATTTGTATTTTTCAACTTGATAAGTTGTCTCCTTAATGAGTGTTTTGTTGTGAGATGTGTGGCATTATACAAGCAAATGCTGTATCGTGACTGTCCACAATCAAGTCGCTAAACTATCAAACTTATATGATTCACAATGCCCGCTATCCTGCTTCATAGTGGCTTTGCTTTGGGATTTTACATAGAGGAATTTGAGGGAAGATTGGTGTGTTGAAGTGTTTATATCACTAGATTTAGAGGGTCTTGTCTAGTTTGTCAACAAACTTTGTGATGTAGGACAACCAGAAATTTATTCATTTTCCATATTTTCTTAGTTTTTTTCTTTTTTATTTACTTTTGATGTTTTTTTTTTTTTTGTCATTAAGATTTGTTTCATTAAAGGTTGTTTTTTACTTTATTTTATGTGTTATTAGCGTTGTGCTTTCCTCAAATAGAGAAGCAAATTATTATTGTTATTAGATTTGATGCATTGAGAATTGAGAATAAAGTATTGTTTTCCCTCTATTTTCCTCCCCTTCTTCATTCTTCCTCTTTTTCTTTCCTCCATGATCTCCATGAATTGATATCAAAGTCAAATTTTTATCCAAATGTTTTTGCTTACACTGAAATTGAAACAATAAATTCATTCCTTGAACGTAGTCACATATAAAATTGGTATGCCATAAACCCCAACTACTCTTAGAATACCTAAAATCTCAAAATCTTGCATCCCAAACTACTATATAGTAATTGCCACACATTCCAATTGCCGTCATCTTTGGTTGCGCATCCATGACACAAACTGTCACCAACAAACTTGGAGTCCACTTATCTATCACTTCCCTTATATACTCAACCATGTACCTTTTCTAATGGCTTTTATTCCTGTTGAGTTGTACATAATCATATTAGGATTAGGATGTTGAGTTGTACAAAATCATATTAGGATTAGGATCAAGATCATATTAAGATTAGGATCAGAATCAGAATCATATTGGGATAAGGATCAGTTTTATTAAGAGTAAGATTATTTCATTCCCTTATTTCATGGATTATTGGATGTATATATTGTTGTATATTGTTCACAAGGAATATTAAGAAAATTCTCTTCTGATTTGAAATGGTATTAGAGCAAAGAAATCAGAAACTCTAGATTTTCAGTATTTTGTTACATTTATTGACGATTATTCTCGTTGCACCTGGTTATTTTTAATGAAATCTCGTTCTAAATTATTTTCCATATTTGAATCCTGTTGTGCTAAAATCAAGACTCAATTTAATACTACGATTCGTGTGTTGCAGAGTGATAATGCTTGTGAATACTTTTCTGCCCCCTTTACAAAATTCATGTCCTCCTAAGGAATCCTCCATTAGTCATCTTGTGGTTATACCCCACAACAAAATGGGGTTGCTGAGCGTAAGAATAGACATCTCATTGAAATTGCCCGCACTTTGCTTTTACACAATCAGGCTCCTTTCTAGTTTTGGGCAGACGCTGTGCTGATTGTTTGTTTCTTGATCAATAGGATGCCTTCTTTTGTCCTACGAAACAAGGTACCTCATTTTGTTTTGTTTCCTGACCAATCTTTATTCTTTCTTCCTCCCCGTGTCTTTGGTTGCACCTGTTTTGTCCATTTCTTCTCCTCTGGTCAAGATAAACTGTCTGCTAAGTCTACCAAATGTATTTTCTTGGGTTCCTCGTGTCTACTCTCCCACACTAAATCGATATTTTATATCTGCTGATGTTACATTTTCTGAGTCTTCTCCCTTCTCTTCATCTCCACCAGAATGTGCCTTTATAATTGAGGTCCTCCCCGTACCTTACACTGCTCCCCTTTCTGGTCAATCATCTGAGTCTGTCCTTGTCTCATAGTGTTCTTCACCTACAGGAGAGTCCCCTCTTGCAGATGATGCTCTTATTCCTCTTACAGGTACTGACATTGTCCCTGATGTTGTTCTTGAGGCTCCTGTTATAGGTCCTGTTCCAGATTCCTCTCATGCTGCGATCATACCTCCTGATAATCAGTTTTCCATTGCCATTCGTAAAGGTATACGGTCCACTCGCAACCCTCATCTGATTTATAATTTCCTTAGTTATCATCGATTATCTTCACCATATCTTGCTTTTGTGTCCACAATTTCGTCTGTGTCTGTTTCTTTCAATATTCATGAGGCGTTGACTAATCCCGGGTGGCGTCAGGCAATGGTTGAAGAGATGACTGCTTTGCATAATAATAACACTTGGGAATTGGTTCCTTTGCATCTAGGGCAATCGATTGTTGTTTGTCGTTGGATTTATATTGTCAAAGTTGATCCAGATGGGCAGGTGGATCGCTTAAAGGCTCGTTTGGTAGCCAAAAGGTACACTCAGACTTATGGGTTGGATTATTATGACACTTTTTCTCCTGTGGCGAAGATATTTTTTGTCCGCTTGTTCTTATCTATGGTTGCCATCCGATAGTGGCCTTTGTTCCAATTGTACATTAAGAATGCATTTCTGCATGGTGAGCATCAGGAAGAGATATATATGAAGCAATCGCCTGGTTTTGCTACTTAGGGGAAGTCTGCCTTAGTCTGTAAACTTCGTCGCTCGTTGTATGGCTTGAAGCAGTCTCCTCGTGTCTGATTTGGACGTGTTGGAAACTATGTTTATATATATAGTGTAAAGGGTAAAGGGTATACTTGTAATTATTTAATGTGTGTATATATTTGAGTTAGGGTGTACTGTTGACATTTTTAAGAGAAATAGAGAAGATAACATGGTATCAGAGCCTGAAACGCGTAAACCCTAAACCCATTTGCGTGATTCAGTTTTTCGGCGAGTGCAAGCTTCTTCCCTGGGTTTTCCGGCGACGTCAGACCCTTCCCTTGCGTTTTTCGGCGACGTCAAACCCTTCCCTTGCGTTTTTCGGCGACGTCAGATCCCTTCCCTGCGTTTTTTGGCGACGTCTGACCCCTCCCTTGCGATTTTCGGCGACGTCTGACCCCTCCCTTGCGATTTTCGGCGACGTTTGACCCCTCCCTTGCATTTTTCGACGACGTCAGACCCCTTCCCTCTGTTTTTCGGCGACGTCTGACCTCTGTGTCTGTTTTTCGACGACGTGTTTCTGTTTTCCGGCAACGTCTGACTCTGTTCTTCATTGTTCTCCTTTTTTTTTCTAGCGAGTGCTGATTCTGAGTGTTGGTTCTCTTCTCTGATTTTTGGTTTGGTGCAGAATTTTTTTTTTTTTGCAGGTCTTTTGACTGAAATATGGTTTTGTGTTTGTGTGAAAATGGGAATGCTTTGTGTTGGCTTAGAGTTGAAAATGTGATACCAGAGTTGTTCTGAATCCTGGTGTTTTGAGTTGTTGTGCTTGCTTGGGTTGTTTGCTTGTTAGGATTGTTGTGAATCTGTGGAGTTACGGGTTCTTTGCTGGACAGTATGGCCGCGGACGGTAAGAAGATGGTGACTGAAATTATCACTTCCTCCACCAAAATTACTGATCGAAAATTATTGGGAAAAAAGAATTATTTTCAATGGAAGCGAATAATCCGACGATATGTGTCCAGCATTGATATGGGAGACCATTTAATCGAGGATCCACCTGAGGAAACAGAGGATGATAGTAAAACTCGAAAGAGATGGCTCATGGAAGATGATAAACTCTTCAATCAGATTCATAACACTCTTGATTCGTCCGTGGATGATGTGATTGGTCACTGTGATACAGTTAAGGAGTTATGGGAGTATCTAGAGTTCTTGTATGCTGGTAAACGAGACTTGTCTCATGCCCACGAATTGTTATTAAAGATATATCAAGCAAATATGTAAGAGAAGACATTGCTCGAATATTATACAGAGATAAAACAAGCCTTTGAAGAAAAAAGGGCTATGTTTCCTGTTCCTACTGACGTGAAAATGATGCAAGCACAAGAAGAACAGGTGGTTGTGCAGTGTTTTTTGGCTGGGTTGAGACCGGAATATGAGATAGCTAGTACACAATTTCTTACCGGTGAGACACTTCCCTCTCTTACGGATGTCTTTGCTCGCCTTCTCAGAATTAGTAAGGGGGAAGATCGAGGAGTGTCTAAGGA